GAGGGGAGGAAATGCATTTTTAAGTATAAGGTTCAATCAGTGACGGATGCACCAAGGTTGAAGCAGTATCGAAAATATCATTTTTCAGTTCTTTAAATATGACACCGCTTACAAAAAATCCTGCGTACGCCCCTGGGACTCGTTTTAATTTCACGGTATATCCAGTTTTCGGACTAGTCAATCAAAAATAGCCAGCGTTTACCAAGTCAATGAAAAATAGCCACCGTTTTGCTGCAATAGAGACCGGTCCAGCATAATATACTGGAGTTCGGTGCACTTGTGTATGAACTNAAAATAGCCACCGTTTGCTGACATAGAGACCGTCCAGCATATAGTACTGGAGTTCGGTGCACTTGTGTATGAACTCCAGCATATTATGCTAGACCGGTATACTTTGCTGGCTCCAGTATAATATACTAGAGACTGGAGCACTGGTGCTCCAAACTCCAGTATATTATACTGGACCATTATACTTGCTGGAACTCCAGTATATTATGCTGGAGTTCTAGTGTATTTATGCTGGAACTTCATCATATTATGCTGGAGTTCCAGCATACTATCCTGGAACTCCAGTATAATATGCTGGAGTTCAAGTATACTTATGCTGGAACTCCAGCATAATATACTGGAGTATTTTCCGGGTTTTGAACAGTTCTTTCGCTCAGATTTATCTTTACATAAAAAGTGGCTAAATTTCGATTACTTTTGAAATTGGGCTATTTTTGAACGACCAGTTGTAAATCTGGCTATTTTTAAAAATCACTCCAGGGACTCAGGGTCCATCGTATCCTTATGTTGGTATTCACTAGCCATGCTGGGCACCAACAAATTATAATTACTCATTTATAAAGGAATAAAATTTTAGAAAAATAGTCTACTTCAAAATTAATTAAAAGAGGGGTCAATATATAGTCTTAAATTAATATAATAACTCGAGAGAGGGATTCTTCTAGATCATTTTCACTTTATCAGTGGTCCTAACTAATTGTTCAAAGCTTAAAAGCCAAGTAATTTAGGCTCCTTTTGTTCTTCTATTCATATTTGTACTAACTTTTTGCAATTCTAACCTTATAAAACTGTGTCTTATTTTAGAATTCTGACCTTTCTTTGTCCTAAAATGAAAACTGTCACTAAAAGGATTGAATTTCCTCTCTTTCTTTTTTTCCCCATTACAGAAGAAAGGAAAGAAAAAAAAAAATTCTTAATATTGAATAAAGTTCAACAAGTTTTAGCTAATGTTTTGTTAATAATTGACAAAAAAACATTTTCTGGCATATGAAATCCAGTGGCAGTTAGTTGCATGGAGTTGATTGCCTGGACACGTGGACAGACTGTTATCGTACGCATCATGAACTTAATCAGACTTCAGAAGTCAGACTTCAATATTTCAATTTCTAATAATCTATATATAAGTAGCTTTTTATTTTTATTTTTTTAATTAAGAAAAGATAAGTTCACCAATATTGACAATTAACTAGTTGCATTAATATTAGGCTTTTAAGACCTAACCCACATGCTATGTCCAGGGGCAATTCCGTCAGCTTAAAATACAGCAAGGTATAGAACCTGCTTTTCCTCTATTCTGCTTTTTTTATATACAGTTTAAAAAAGAAAAAAAAGAAAAAGAATTCTCTTCTCACACACATACGCAGGGTGGAGCTAGTGTGCCGGTTACGTATTTGGCGAATTCAATAACTTAAATTTTATCTTAATAAATTTATTGAATATGTAAAAATTATTTATTTAGAATTTGGCAATTTGAAATAACTAAGAAATAACTTTTAGATTTTTGTTCAAATATAAGTACTATTCTTATCTTGCCAAGGCTATGAGTTTGTTGAGCTTGAAACCCATAACTTTTGACGCAGGATAATAATTTTTATATATAAAAATTCATGAAAATTATAAAATAGTAGATATGAACCCATAAATAATTTTAAAAATATAATGGGTTCAATGCTAAAACCTTAAAAGTTGAGCCCATAGAATTTATATTTCGAATCCGCTTCCTTCTAACATCAACACTTCCAATCGATTATAGTGATGTATGACGTATTATACACTTGTAAAGGTATAATAATCCTAACTGATTGATATTATTAAGCCTTTTTTTTAGAAATCGGAAATATATAGATTTCAATATCTTGCTAGATAAGCAACTAACGACTATGGAAACGTTATGATAAGTAAATCATGACTCAAAACCACAATCCATATCTCCTTTAATTTTTTTAATTTTTCACCCAATGTTTGCTATCTGTATTCCGACTAAAATTCTCCCGCCAAAATTGAATTCGCGAAAAGTTCCACATTAAGATAAAGTATTCCCTAACGACAAATGTATTCCCTATCGAAGGTTCGAACCCGAAATCTATAATTAAGGATAGATTAATACTTATCACTCAACTACAACCTTTATTGGTCCATTCTCCTAAAATGCTTTTATATATTATTGCCATGAATACCCTCCCATTAAGCTAACCAACCATAATATAAAAATAAATTTATCTAAAACCACTACCCCCTCTCTCTCTCTCTCAAAGAACATATAAAACACACTATATATATAGATAGTGGCATCAGAAAGTACAGAAAAAACAGAGAAAGCTAAACAAAAGTAATAGCGAGGAAACAAAAGATGGATTTCATCAGAAAGAAGATATGTCTGTCTGTCTTCTTGTTTTTCCATGTCTGCTTTATTACAGCTGATGCTGCCCTTAATGTTTCCACCATCCCTTTTAGCGATGGCTTCAGCCATCTCTTTGGTGAAGGGAACATTCTTCATGCAACTGATGATAAGAGCCTTCAACTTCATCTCAACCAACGCACTGGTAAAAATATATATTTTTTTCCGATTGAATGTATTTGATACGACAGAAGTTATTTTTTGCCGAACAACTTCTTGAAAATATTTTCCTTCCCCTATAAAGACGTACATATATATATATATCCTATTCTTCTTCCAAGGTTTTTTTTGTCATACCAGTATGTGTCTAAATTTATTATTTCCCTTTTTTATTATTAAAATCTCTTACAGGTTCAGGGTTCAAGTCTTCTGACCTCTACAACCATGGTTTCTTCAGTGCTAAGATAAAATTGCCATCAGATTATACTGCAGGGATCGTTGTTGCCTTCTATGTATGCATCTCTACTGTTGTTTTTTTTTTTTTCCAAATATTATCATGTTATATGGTAGCTTTAATACGATTGCTATATACTCATTTATTTGTTTGCTTGTTTGTTTTTTGCCAGACGACGAATGGTGATTTATTTACAAAAACACACGATGAACTGGATTTTGAGTTTCTGGGAAATATAAGAGGAAAAGCATGGAGATTTCAGACAAATATGTATGGAAATGGAAGCACAAGTAGAGGAAGAGAAGAACGATATTATCTTTGGTTTGACCCTTCTAAAGAATTTCATCGTTACAGTATCCTGTGGACCAGCAAAAACATCATGTGAGTTTTTTTTTTTTTTTTTTTTTTTTTTTTTTTTTTTTTTTTTTTTTTTTTTTTTTTTTACAATTTTTTAAGAAAAAGTTACTAAACTATCTATATCTATCCTTTTNGAATTTTAGTACAAATTTGCGGCCGCTTTTGATATTTGACCATTTCGCAAATACTGTTCCTTTTCTAGAAAGAAAAATATGGTACACATAACTTCCAAGGATCACATGTATAATATGTTAAGTATATTATAAAAAAAGTTTAACTTTTATATATGTACTGATATTTTAAGATTTTTTGCCCCATTTAGCCGTCCATATTCATTATTTATTTTTTCTAGCTATATACATAATTTATATATTGATTATACATAATTATATACGTATAATTCATAAATTAGACATATATAATATCTTCACCGGCTATTTTTAATTTAAGCGATTGGGTGAACGGTTATGTGGGTTAATTCTTCGAAATAATTACCTAAAAATCAAGACAAATAACCTCTTAAAACATATTAAATTACACTGATAAAATTGAAAAAGAAACAATTGGTACTCTCATAATTCAACTTGGATAAGTTTCAAAATGATTTGGGGCATAGAATCTCATAAATGTGAAATTTGTTGCTATGTGCAAATACCGTTGATATAAGTTAAAGTCCTATAAATATTAGGAATTCATGATCAAAAATCTGAAAACTAAATCAAAATAAAAGATCATTTCAGGTAATTATTAGGTATCAGAAAAATAGAAATAGAAATATAAAATTAGGAAAATTGAAAGTTCAGGGAGATATTACCAATTAATAATATGCTTTTTGGCTATTGACAACGTAAGGTGCGACTTTTCTTTTTTCTTTTACGTGATGAATTTGTACTTGACTGGTTCAATGAATCTATTCATTTAACTTGTCAAATAGTTTATCTGATTTATTAAATGGACGACGTATAGCTGAACTGAAAAGTTTGATGTTCCGTGATCATCAAATTGTAGATAACCTAATTAATAATCCCCAATATTAATTAAAGTAACTTATTGACAAATGACAATTACGTCTATCAATTTATGAAGTTATTAATTGATGATTTGACAATTTAATTTGCTTATTTTTCCCCTCTTTGGATGTGAACATGAGTTTGGATTATCAGTTTATCATATACAAAACATATGGCTATAATATTTGTTTAGAAGATAATATCAAAAAGGAAAACATACAGAAACAAACAATAGGAGACGTTGAGAATTTTCTTTCTAAAACCTCTTCAAGAAACGCCAACCATTCAACCAATAATCTGGTTGAATTAGTTTAACCACTTTGTATTACATTGAATTAACTAACATAAATTATTTCTCACTAGAAAAAAATGGAGAGATAAATATAGTTTAACCACTTTGTATTACATTGAATTGACAAACATATATTATTTCTAATTAGAAAAGTTACATATAACGTAATCCACATTAAAGTAATTAAATGATAGATATCTTTTAATATAGAACCAACTCAATTATTGACAATTTTTTTTATTTATTTGAGAACAGATTTTATATAGATGATGTTCCAATCAGAGAAATTGTACGTAATGATGCAATGGGAGGAGACTACCCATCAAAACCAATGGGATTATATGCAACAATATGGGATGCTTCAGATTGGGCTACTTCAGGAGGCAAATATAAAACAAATTACAAATATGCACCATTTATAGCTGAATTTACTGATTTAGTACTAAATGGATGTGCAATGGATCCATTGGAACAAGTAGTAAACAACCCTAGTTGTGATGAGAAAGATGATGAACTTCAAAAGGCAGAATTTTCAAGGATTACACCAAGACAAAGAATGGCCATGAAAAGATTTAGGTCAAAATATATGTATTATTCTTATTGTTACGATTCTTTGAGGTATTCAGTGCCACCACCAGAATGCGAGATAGATCCAGTTGAACAACAACATTTCAAAGAGACGGGGAGATTGAAGTTTAACAAGCACGGCCACCATCGTCATTCAAAGAGAACAAGAAGTCAAGTTCTTGATGCTAGGAACCATGGAAATCAAGATGAAGAGTGATTTTTGTTTACCATTGTTGTGTGTAGATATATAAAAGGAGGGAAAAAGTGATTGTTTTTTTGTTTTTTTTGCTAGAGTGGAGGGTGGAAAAATGATGATAAAATTATTTTAGTATGACACTGATTGAGTTATGTTGTATATAAATAAAAGGGGTTATTACTCATTTATAATAGAAGATCTTTTGTGATATGAAAGCCGAGCTTTAAATTATGTATATTAAATATTACTAGAGGCTCTATATATACTATTCTATTCTTTAAAGGATCCAACTCCACTCCATTTCCTATTATCTCCATTTCTTCAAGTTCTTACTTGGATGGATGACACATGTCTTATCTTTATATCAATGATCTAAAGTTAATTACTTGACACAAGGTTTTAACCACAGTTAAAATAATAGATATCTTTATATATTTACTCCTAAAAAATTTGACAATCCCATAACTAAAAGATTTGATAATCCCATAATTGTAGGAGCAAAATTCTGAATACTCATCAATTAATGCATTTTTATTTGCTTTAAACCCTTTTTGAATGTAAAAGGGAGCACGTAAAAAAAATATTCGTTTTTGAAATCTAGAATTTCCACAAGTTTTCGAAATTCATTCATTTAGCGTATGTTAAAAACTTTTTTTCCACATCTCGTTTACGTTAGTGATTTTCTTCTTTCATACTTTGGTATGTTAACTTATTTCAATATTTCGATTCCTAGGTATTTCTTTCTTCAAAGTAAAAGCGAGAAAACAACTCAAACATCTTAGACTTTTTGATCCAATAATGCTGGGTTATTTGTTTCAGTAGACAAACTGAACGTATTTGTAATAATTTACTACTTTTACATATACCTAAATTGTTGTTTAAAGACCATCAAGTCTCGTAAAGCCATTATCTATAGTTTATAGGCAGATTCATTGTTTTTCAATAAAAAATGGAGGGGGATTATAAGATATAATATGAAATGGAACTACTTTCTTTTATTTATTTTCAAAAATATTTCACTTTATTATTTGGTAAAAATACTTTTTGGCACAATACGTTTGAGGTATCTTAATATTCATACGTTGTATTTCTATTGTAAGTGTTGTTCTATTTAAAAAGGAAAAAAGAAGAACAAAATTGGAAAGAATATCAGAAGTTCAGAAAAAAATAATGGAAATATTATTATCCTAACCATGGTTAAGTAAATGTTTAGGCAATTAAATTTAAACCATTGATTTAAAGATAAGACATGTGTCATCCATCCAAGTAAGAACTTGGAGAAATGGAGACAATAGGAAATGGAGGGGAGTTGGATCCTTCTTTAAACTAGTTCGTCTGGTAAAGATTCGACAAATATATAATCATTTATTATCCAAAATAAATAAGGGGACGTTGAATTTTTTCTTCGGAAAGCTCCTTCTTGAGTTCCATTCACTTGGCAATATATGGGACATCATATTGATAGGTTATATGTGTATCCCTGTTATGTTTTGATGATCAAACAAACTTATTATTTAGAATCAGATAAGGAACCTGATACACATCCTTAAGAACTTAAAGATCACCAAGTCTCCAGTTGGGGACACAGTTCAACTCTTCAGAGTCAAAGGAATAGTAGAGGGAACGGATAGCTACCAGTTCCCGCGGTGACTGTACAAATCAACTCCCCCAGATGTAAAGTTACTGCCTGCACACGCAACAGTGCGAAAATAGTACAACAATCAACTTTATGGGGAATGCCCTTTACCTAACTTCCTTGCATCATTCAAATGATGTCACAAGTGCATTATTAACATCAAGCAAAGGTAAAACAAAACACTTGCACATTCAAGAATTGATCAAGCATTCTCTCAGGTCATCTATCAATCTTGTAAGTGACTCTCAGGGGCATCAAGAACAAAGAACAACATAACGACGGACCAGTTTCCTATATCGAGTTATTACATGTCCTTAGTTGTGTTGTACCTTTGTTAAAGCATTCTACTTGTAATTCCTACTTAGCTTAGTTAGAAGCATTGTGTGGGAAATCTTTGTAAATCATAAACCCTTATATTTGTGTCTTGGCTAGAGTTAGTCGAGTTGTAAAGTCTTTGTAATAGAGTTATTACAAAGTGGCTTGTAATAGTGTTGTTACAAGTTAGTGAGGGACTAAGAGGTTAATTCCTAGGTTACAATAGTTTGTAATCTAAAGTTTGCTCAGTAGTGAAGTTGAAATCCTATAAGGGTCGGTCGTGGTTTTTGATCCTTTGAGCTGAGAGTTTTTCACGTAAAACTCCATTGTGTCATTTACTTACTGTAGTGTGCGTGTGTATTCTGTGGGAACTAATAGAGAACCTGGTTCTCCATATAGTTTGGTGGACCCTTAATTTCTATTAATTGGTATCAGAGCGGGTTCTTTCTATCAGGCTAACACCTAGAAAGGATCCTCATGGCTGCTCCGCCAAACTTCGAAGAAGGTCAGTATACCTACAGACTGCCAAAATTTAATGGCCAGTACTATGGATGGTGGAAGATGAGGATGCAAGACTTCATCATAGCTGAAGACTCAGAGCTCTGGGATATCATCTGCGATGGACCCTTCATTCCTACGAAGACCATTAGAGACCCCGTAGTGACAGTTTCTAAAACTAGAAAGGAATATAATGATGTTGAACGCAAGGCTATTGAAAAGAACTTTCGAGCTAAGAAAATCCTCGTCTGTGGTATTGGACCAGATAAGTACAACAGGATTTCAGCATGCCAATCAACTAAGGAGATCTGGGAAACTCTCCAAACAACTCATGAAGGGACAACGCAGGTAAAGGTCCAAGATTGACATGCTGGCCACAGAGTATGAGCTTTTCAGAATGAAGGACGATGAGTCCATTCAGGATATGCACACTCGCTTCACGTCTATCATCAATGAGCTTCACTCACTGGGAGAGATCATCCCCAGCAACAAACTTGTCAAGAAGATACTTAGTGTATTACCTGGTTTCTGGGAAAGCAAAGTAAATGCCATTACAGAGGCAAAGGATCTTCAGGAGCTGACTATTGATGAACTTGTCGGTAATCTCAAGACCTATGAAACGAAGAAGAAGAAGGATAATGAGAGAAGAGAGCCCAAAAGGGAGAAGAACCTGGTCCTCAAGACTCAAGTGGTGAGGATGCTGATATGGCCTACCTCACAAAAAGGTTTCAGAAAATGGTTCGCAGAAATGGGGGCATTCCAAAAAGAGGCAGCTCCGGCAAGCCAAAAGGTTATGATCTATGTCAGAAGTGCGGCAAGCCAGGACACTTCATCATGGATTTTCCTCTCCTCAAGCAAGATCAATACTAACACAACACTGACAAAGCAGCTAAGAGGAACCAGGTTCCTAACAAACGATTCAAGAGAAAAGATGCCGCTGACAATGTTGTGAAACAAGCCCTTGCTGCATGGGGAGACTCTTTCAGCGAATCTGAAGAAGATGATGATCAAGTTGATAGCTCCATGATGGCAGTGGAAAGTGAAGCAGCTAAGTATGAATCAATCTTTGCCCTTATGGAAAAATCTGACAATGATGAAGATGATGATGATGATGATGATGATGATGAGGTAACTTTTTAGATGTTCAAAGAAATCTAAAGTCGTATTCTCCGAAAAAAACTTATATCTTTGGCAAATGTTTTAATTGATGATTATCATGGTCTTATAAATGATAAAGATGAATTAACTATGGAACTGGGAGAAGCAGAATGGTCGAGAGATGATCTAGTAGTTGTGGTGGTAGACTTAAAGGAAACCATTGAGAGTCTGAAGAAAGAAAAAGATGCCTTAACTGAAAAAATTGCAAACATAGAACATGAGAGAGATGATCTAGTGGTTGTTGTGGTCGATCTAAAAGAGACCATTGAGTGTGTTAGAAAGGAGAAAGAAGTTTTAACTGAGAGGGTTTCTAACATTGAGCATAAGAGATGACCTATTAGTGGTGGTTGTAGACCTAAAGGAAGCAATTGAGGAACTAAAAAGGGAAAGTAGGCCTGGGAACACTCAAAAAGGAAAGGAAGTTGTAAGTGAAGCACACCTTAGGCTTGAAGATGAGTTAAAATCAGTGAAATCTAGTCTGTGTGCAGAGCTTGAGAAAAACAGACAACTTCAGGAAGACCTAGGAAAAGTGAAGAGTGACCTAGAAAAATCACTTAAGTGGACCTGGTCCTCTGATGCAATCACTACTATGTATACAAACAGTAGGGGAAATAGGCAGGGAATCGGGTTTCAAAGGGAAAAGACTCCCTACAACCTTCATACAAAGTACGTTACTGTACCTATAACTGGCTCTGCACTCACTGTGATAACACTGGGCACTTTAAGGAAACCTGTAACGCCAGATTTCAATCTCAACAAAAAAAAAGTTTTGCTGAAAAAGTAACTACTGCTAGGGAACGTGGTCTTTCATATAAAAAATGTGTGATGCCTGCTTGGACCAAAAGACCCTCATTCACCCCTTTCCCCATTACAAGGGACCCAAACTTGTTTGGGTTCCTAAGTCTAACTCTTGATTTCATTATGTAGGGAACAATGAAAGGGAGCACCCAACAATGATACATGGATAGCGACTGCTCGAAGCACATGACTGGAAGTACAAATGATTTCCTTTCACTGAAGGCCCTGTATGGAGGGAGTGTACCCTTTGGAAATGACAATAAGGGATACATTCTAGGAGTTGTAAGGATCGAAAAGTCTCTTTCTCACTCTATTGAAAATGTGTACTGCGTGAACAGGTAAAAGTACAGCTTGCTGAGTGTCTCCAAATCTGTGACAAGGGAAACAAAGTGGAATTTGTATCCAAGATATGCACATTCACAAATCTTATGACCGGATAAGTGGTGTTTGTGGCTAAAAGATACAAAAATATCTACGTTGTTGACTTTGAGTCCTTGCAAAATAGAGATCTCAGCTGTCTGAGTGATGTTGATGATAATGCTGGGCTATGGAATAGAAGGCTGGGTCATGCAAGTTTCACGTTGCTGAACAAATTGGTCAAGAAGGACCTGGTTCGTGGTATGACCAAGTTAAGCTTCAAGGATCACAGGGTGTGTGATGCATGTGTAAAAGGAAAGCAAGTCAAAAAGAAGTTAGTACCCCATGGCCACTTGATCCCCTCCATATGGATCTTTGTGGACCTTTGAGGGTGCCAAGTAGAGGAGGAAAAAAGTGCATATTTGTTATAGTGGACGATTATTCCTGATTCAC